TTTTACCTAGTCCATTGAAATCGTTTATTTGTTATGCAAAATAAATGTTCATTCTGAAGAATAGGAGAAAGCTATTAGATATTCTTTTTCCTTGTCAGGTAGTTAATAACTTTATTTATTGCCCTCTGCTTCTCTCACTTATCAATTCCTCATTTCTAGATATGTATATTACATTTTTTCCGCGAATGACATTAGATTTAGTGTCCCTATAATCGAAATTCATAAATATAACAACGATATGTAAAATCAAGTGGACCTTTCCTGGAGATTTATTGAAAAATTCAAATACTTGTTATTGAAGTCCGTTATCACTTAAAAATTACACTTCTTAAGTGTTATATTTTTTAATTAACTTATTTTATATGATAAAGGATTTAATTGTTTTAATATTAGACAGTTTGATCGTATTTCTCTTAATTAAAACTTAAAAATGCCAATTTATAAGTTTATAGAATCGAGATGAATTCGTTTTATTATTTATTTTCACTTTTCTATCATTTTCTGCTTAAAATTTGGAAAACGACATGATCGCATCGCTTGACATTTTTTTACTGGATTTATGTGACTTTCATACAATTAACACATTTGCTATCAACATCACATATTTGTAACGGCCGCGATACCATACTTTACAAAAATAAAATGAAATTAATGCTACAGATATTGTCATTTAAAGTTACAAAATATGATATTATATTTAAAAACTCGATAATTCCAATTAGTTTCATTCTTTCGATATTTTATTTACAACATTTTTCAATAGAATATTTCAACTGAAAGGTTGTCGCTGAAACAAATGGTGGTAGCGGGAGTTAATTATTACTCGTAATTAATATCCGTTAATTCTTTATAATTATCACGATGACTGCCACGAGAATTTTCAGTGTTCCGTATAATATTATTTATTTTTTTATAATAAAGACAAATGGTACTAAAATTAATGTCATTGTTTTTAAGTTACACTACTATTTAATATTTACTTACTGCTAGGCGATCGCTTAATAGCTACGTCGAAGAATTCGCCTATATCAGTTTTTATTTTCCTCGCCCAGTTCTCTGTCGGTGTCATGTTCTAATTCCTAAGATCTTCGATCGCTAATTTATTATTCGCCAACACTGTTACACGCAACCTATCAAAACTATAATACTTTGAACCAGAAAGACACCTGTTCCTATACCATTCCGCTAGACACAAGTCATCTCCCAACTGTACTTATATAACTAAATATTTTAATTCGACATTAGTTTTCTTTTTACAATCACCATCAATCAATTTGTCAGCTTCGGTCATCAGTAACTATGACGGTCAACGTATTAACCTTCACTCACCCCTTAAAAAAATCACAGTTAGAATTAATCTTAATTCAGGTCGAAATAATACCCGAATCAAGACTAAATAAATCAAATCACCTTCCAATCAATGAAAAAAGAAACTCCAAACAGACTTACCTTCAGCACACAATTCTCTTTGAAAAGCCAGTCACGCGTTCTGTTTCAAATTTTCGAGCCGGCTCGCGCGGTCCAATCGTCGAATTCGCTTCCTTCGACCGAAAATCGATCTCGATCACTCGGCCAGTTCCAGGGTGGGAGTTCACTCGTGGGCACTGCGGAAGTGTATCTTGCGCGCGGCGCGGGAACCGGGTTAATGTCAAAGACAACTCGAAATACGGAAGGCGACGTTGTGTGTCCGCACTTGAGATCCACGTTCCTTTCTTCCTGTTCTTTCCTTCTTATCGTCGCGATCCTCTTCCGACGTAGACAACTTTCTCGAACACAGAACACGTTTGCTCACTGCGTCCCTAAACCTCTTCTGGCGGTCGCGGCAGCGTTTTCGGCGCGGAATCCTGTCGTACCGAAACTGGCGCGTATCGATCTCACCACCCGATGTTTATATGTCGAGTATCCTATGCGCACTCGTGCGAGATACGAGCTAGAGCCTCGCTGCGATCGCTCGAAGCGTACTGCCGGTCGTGGATTCCTAACGATCAATCGTTGAAACCGTGAACAGTCGCCGCGGATGTATGTCATGACAACGTTGACAGCGGGATGAGACGCATTATTTCCACTACGAGCCGAATTCCTGTGAGGTCTGTACGTCACGACGTCGACCACCCGACTGCCGTGGCCGTCGTACACTTTGGGAAATCAAGATCAAGTCTAACTTAAAACGGCGCGGGGTGGGGGATCTATGAATCGGCAAGCCTCTTGTGCATGTGGTCTCTATGAAAGGTGTCGATAGTGCTTGGCACCGGATTCCTTGGAAGGGGAACACGTCTTTCTCTTGTTTTGGGCGATTCAGTAGTGGCTGGGACTATCGAGTGTTTAACATGTTGAACGTCACACGATTTCATAGAGGAAAATAGATAGAACGGAAAAAATATAATATTAAATCATTTAATCGAATTGCATTATTACTATTCTACATTCATCTAACCGAATGTCAGCGTATTAGGTAGCATTTTTTATAATATAGAAATGTTTTCATATGATCATCGTTTAATTGAGTGAACTATAATAATTCGATTTGGTCGGGAGTCACCTGTGACCCCCATGGCAACCCTTTGTACTTTATTTATTTTCAATGTTGTTGGGTGTGAACTTGTATTTATTTTTAGAGGAATGAATTGAAGTAATTTACGCGGTAAAATTAAAGGTTTTGTATTTGTTTTATTTATTATTATAATAAGATTAAAATTTTTTCATATTTTTAAGTGTGGTACTTTTAAAAACAATTTTCAGCGTTTTATAATGAATTTGTATTGCTATTTCCAGCATAATATATGAGTGCACAGGGTTAACACTAAAACTACCAGACGAATCGGAATTACCTATTCCTGATTTCTTCTTTTTATTCCTCGATTGAGAATATTACGTTACTAAATGTTTTTATGTGACATTACTTTTCTTATTATGATTGTTTCCAAGCAATTTGGAAGCTCCAGTTATCGGTGACCACCATGACCATTATCGTGTTAAGTCAATCGTGTGTGGGTTTAAATGATGTACTTCCTTTTTCTTTTAATGTTTCCGAATTTATTATGTGTTATTATGTGTATAATATATAATAATGACTTATTATGTGTAACGACGAATGAAGTTCGTGATGCAGATTTTTGGAATAATTTGATGAAATTTAATGTCTAATTTTTATACATGGTGATATTAGTTATGAATTTAGTCTAAAAAGACAATTCAAAAGAGAAAAAGATGGAACGGAGTTAAGAAATTTAATAATTGACTCTTTAAATATGTAGTTTCATAAAATTTTTTTAGTTGTTGTTTTTTGGAACTTATTTTACTGCAGTTGTTTATACTGTTATTTTATTTAAGTTCTCTGTTATTTATTTTGGTTATTGATTTGTGAATAAAGAAAATTTCGTAGAATTTTATTTTTCATGACTGAGATGTTATGGACCTTTCAATATTCATAGTGTTAAGATTCTTTGACACCTACAATGGACTATATTTTTTAGAGTAGAGGATGCTTGACATATGTATAATTTTGTGGTTTGCTAATGACACGTTTTAATGATTTTAATTTATTGAGTATAAATTTAAATTCGTTTTTGCTTATCTTCTGATTTAGAATAAATAACTTTTAAATGGAGTTAGATATCTTTGAGATACCAATTTTTTCGTTATTTTAACTATAAGGTTTTCAATGCTGTACATTAAATAAATACATGAAATTATACATTTATGTCTAGATATATTATTAAAATAATTCCTTGATTCCACTATTATATATATATTAGATTTAAACATTGATTCGATGTGTTTTCATTTGATTTATTTTTAAAAGCATTTCATCGCCATTTTGAAATCTTTAATATTTGCCTGGAAAATGGAAGAAAATCGTTGAAAGTAATGATGATAACTTCGTAAATTGAAAGATATACGGAACAAATATATATAAGAATAATATTTGGAAAGTATTGGATGTTTTCATAGTAGAAAATTGTAATGGGTGTTAAGTTTATTCTTACACCTTGTTCATACTTTCAACCCTGCTTCAGTGGTTACTTTTTTAGTTGCCTATCTAATATGAGAAGAGGTCGCTGTAATCAGTCTTGCATTTCTAGAACGATAAAACAGTTCGACGTAAGTCACGAAAACTTTTAACGCGTTGGATCTATTCCTATTTCTTGTTGGTAATAATTGCATGTTCAATATATCCTACATCTCGTTGGCGACAACATGATTAAATTTAAAATACTAAATAAAATGTGTTTATAATCATGACGTATGGACAATCGTTAAAGAAGAAATCTACCATTCATTGTAGTCGCAAACTGCTCGCGTCATCTACAATTGAATCATCAAACTACTGTCATCAATGAGTACCAGCGATTCACCGCTAGGTTTCCACTTCTTAATTAAGGGATGGTTTGATGCTTATTTAATTTATCTTGTAAAAATAGAAAATTTTATTTCTAAAATTAGTTCTAGAACATATTACAGAATTTAGTTTCTCTTCATTTAAATTTAAAAAACTATTAATTATACAAATCGAAAATGTTTTCTTTAAGATTTTGTGAATTAGGGATTGTAACAATGCACTCTTTATATTGTTTATAGAGTCACTTGTGTTCTGAGGACTTCCTTCAGAACTCTCAACAAATATCCAGCATTTTTTCAATGTCATTCATCTTTTCTTCTTCGTACAGCGGAGTGGGAACTTTCGTAAATTTATTTAGTTTCTTTTTGAAAACTCTAATTTAATACATCTTAATACGATCCAAACATTCTTATACAAATTAAAATGAATGTATAATATCCTAAAAATCATACATGTATTATATATTTATTTATTTCTGTTAGAATGTCGACAGGAAATTCATTATTGGGGAGGAAAGAATATTTATTGTTTATAAAGATATGAAATGTTTTGATTGTATGATTGCCAGTAAAATTAATTGGTCACTATTTTGTTACATTCAATTATAAAGAATTATATAAGTATCGGTGTAAAGTACAAAGATCATTAATTAATTAGGGGTATGAAAAACTGATGTGAAGGTGGCAATTGTTGCTGCTGAAATCTGATTGTTAACACATGCACACACACACGCACACACTTACGCACATATATTAATGCGTAATTGCCATGTTCTATCTAAAATTGAATTTCAAAATTCATACCTTGTACATGTATTTATGCGTTACAATCATCTATACAAAAAGTATATAAAATTCTACGTGCATCGTTGATATTGAAAGTGTTTCGCGTTTTAAATATTACTCGTGCGTTGTCTTATTAAACTGAAATATGACATTGCCGAGCTCAGTATCTGTAACACAAAAAAATAAATTACAATTCAAAAATTCACTGAAATTCCTCTTGACACATCAATTTTTATATTACGTAAATATAAATATTAAAAGTTTTCCTTTAACTTCTTTCAACGCCTATCTTTCATTAATATTAAGGTATTTCATTATAACGTTTCAAACTATTTGACATACATGCAATACTCGCAAAAATGTACAAAAACTTCTTGAACATTTTTATTTATTCGAAACACACGTTGATAGATGAATTTTAATTTAATTCCACTAAACTGTATGATCTTCAACAGAATATAATAAGACTTAGTGTTTTTAGAACGAGTATTCATATTCTTTTAACTGTAATAGGATTTAAAGAAATCAAACTTTTTAATAAAAAAGAATTCGATAATTACGTTGATGTAGGTTTTCATTGAAACCATGAAGAATTTACCAGCAGTCAGGAAACAGGGTCGTCTCGATCTCATTACCATGAACTGTAAATCCTTTCGAAAACGTTTTCCAAACTTATCCATCGGCAATTCTGCCCATGCGACTGTGTAGATTGCTTCTGAGACTGCAGTGCTTTCTTGTATCAAAGAATCGCAACTGTACGTGAACATGAATAGTTGGATCAGGACCCCTACCAACTCGGCCACAAGCGTTGTGCGGCTGACCGAAGTATCTTCGACCTGTATTAATTCATTGCACCAAAAATGCGAAGAAAATAGAGAATAAAATAGTTCCTACATTTCAAATGAAAAAGAAAAATACCTAACTTCGTTACTTCGTGAAATGTGTGATAACGAATCTAACACTATTACAGAAGAAATATTATACATAAAAAAATTATTTGAAAATTCGGGTAACACCAGAATCTGTAATCTTAAGAAGAAGAAGAAGAAGAAGAAGAAGAAATTGTAAATATTTAGTTTGTAAAATGAAGATTCCAGCCTCAAAATAGTAGGGTAAGAAAAATCATATTACAATTATGCTTAACGGCAGCTTCAAGGCTGAATCTTGCATTTCGCATACATTTTCATTATCTTTCTATTTTCTTATTGCATAAGCAGTAGTTACTTCGCTAGAGACACTAATTATAGTGACAATAATGATGATATAATAAGTAATAATAATACGTTTAAAATAAAGTAATAAATACATGAAACTCCAGGAAATGGTGATTTTACTAATATCGAACAGTGTCACTATAAAAAAACAACACAGTACGCATGCAGGATGTAGCAAAATTATTGTGCATAAATGATAGGGTACAACTCACTAAACTCAGTAAAAAAACTCCAATGAACATGGGTCTAAAACTCAACAGTTTCCTAGATAAAAATAGGTTTAGTTGAGAAAAACATGTATGGGGACCGAATCAAGAACACCGAATTGCCTCGAAAAGTATCAGTGATGCGAACAAATGTGTAAAACAAAAGTTACAGGGTATGAAATACTACATGCCACAGCGGGAGGTATTTGACCATGACGTGACCTTGAAAGGTCCTGTAAAGGTTACGCCACAGTTTTTGAATAGAACCCCATCTTTTCTAATCTATATTTTTGAAGCCGACATTCAGACATTTCCAAACCATAGACAAGAAATTTTTCGTGTAAGCGGTTATCAAGATATCTGCCCTCAAAGTTGTCCCATCATTTGTGCGCAATAATTTTGTTACACTCCATATATGTTGAAAATATCACATCAAAGTTTACTTAAAGCTAACCCGATCAATTTGGCATTCGAAGAATTTATCTAATAACGTATTAAATGTATATAATCTAAGGAGGCACACTAACCTCTAACAGTTGGAACCCACACATACCAATCAGCACACTAAAAGTTAATATTTGCCACAGAATAAACACACTAAAGATTTCTTCACTTTCGCCGGAATATATGACAAGCAATTGATGTTGTTGAATACAATTTTTCATCGCGTTGTAGAAGTTCTGAGCAGTGTACGTATCCGGTTTCTTGTTAATTTGTAAACTGTTTATATTTTGCAATCTGTTTTGTAATATACGAAATTGAGCGGCCATATGTAGATTTATGATGCAAAAGAAGTTCTCGAAAGACACGTAACATGCGTTTAGGTTGAACATGAGGAGAACCTAAATAAAGTTACTAGATAATAATTGTGCTAAGGTGAAACTGCAATGGCAAACAGAAAAAATATCATAGAAAACATATTTGAATATTATTAAAATACAATGTTGTATTCTTAACGTGCACCAGTCAAGAGAAGGTTTGAAATCGAAGCAGTTTCACAATTTAAAATTGAATTGCACTTATGTTAATGCGAAATTGCAATAGTAAGTGTATAAAATTTCGTACGTCGGTGTAATAAAATATGAATTCCTTTGAAAAGACTAACCTGCAACATGAATGCTATTTCGAAGTATGGACTCGGTAAATTTGGCCATGCGTTGAATGGGAGTACCCTTTCTGACTCATTTTTTCCAATATTATCTAAAAAAATATTTAGTATTACGTGTTGAAAGTGACTTATAGCTAATTAATATAAACGTGTAAATAGATCAAATGTAAATATAAGGCGCGACCAATAATATTAAACGAGGAAATTCTACGATCAATGGAAAAAATAAGTAATCTGTCATGAATAGTAACTTTTTCCAATATTTTCTAAAGAAATATTTAGTATTATTAACAAATTAATTACTATTGTTATATACTAGTAGTACTATGACCACGAGTGATCGTTAATTTATATAACCAATTCCATTTGATGCAGCAAAGTGCAATTATATACTCGCTTCATTTTTAAATATGAAGATAAATAAAATATTTTTTAATCTAAAATGATAAATAAAATAAATGATTTCTATTTTTTTGTTAAATTTTCAATGCCATTCTTTTAAAATTCACTTGTCCACGACGAAAAGTATAAAGCATGCAACCGAAAGAATTGCATTATTCATGGGATGATTTAAATAAGGTATATAGGGCGCAATAATATAATTTTAGACAAAAAAATCCCCTGATCTATGAAGGAAATGAGCAATTATTATATGTTGAAATAGATAACGAACAAGGAGAACTTACTACACACAAAAAATGATGAATTATTGTACATTATTGTTTTCTTATATTCTTTAATAACTTAAAACATTAGAAACTATCCTTGAGTGGTAGTTCATGTACCTATAATCGGTACTACGATGAGACTGAGATCTGCACTATCAGTGAAAAAGACGAAGCAAGCAATGAAACAGAGGCAGATACGTTTCCATCTGTTGAAGATTGCCTGCTCGTACGGAGTGTAGTTTGTATGCCAGAAGTACTTTCGCATAAACTGGATCAAATTAAGAAATTTCTGTTTCTTTATAGCGAAGGTCACTGTTTTGACCATAATCATGTTAACGTACAAAATGTTGAATACCATGTAAACGCTCATCTGTAACGAGAATGAATCTTGATTAAAAATTAGTAACGGCTGTTAATTATTCAGACATCTGCTAATTTAAATACTTAATAGTGTAGGTATTTCTTTGATGAATAATTTCTTGAATACGAATAATGTATTCGTTAGATTGTTAATTAATCACTTAAAGATTGTATCTAAATTAATAATTTAAAGATAATATCTAAATTCTAATAAAAAGGGTAGCGGTAATGTACTTACAGTAATGTTTCCCCAAGAAATAAATATAAGCTGCAGCACCATATACATGGATAATGAACTTGAGAGAAAGACGTTAACCAACATGGCGTTCCTAAAATATTTCTGGACACGATTATCCGCGTACCAAATGCCAATGTACTTTACAAGCATGATTGAAAAGCTAACGGAAACATCTTTGTAGCGTTCCGAACCCATGTCGAGTGTTGAGCAGTCGAACAACCCTACTCGCTTGAAGTTCGCATCCGGAAATTTTCGCGTTGATAATCAAGAAGTCGGAAGTTGATCGATCTTACCTGTCCTTTAATCCGACGTCATTCGATATTCAACTTTTCTCTGCTCTATACTCATTATTGCAAGAGGGCGGTGTTACAATTGCAACTGCTATTTTTGAAAGAAGAAGTTGTACTGTCGACGGTTTAGTTATTCATGATTTATAGGGCAGCGCTATTGCATTGAACACCGGCTGGCAATCGTACATTAGATTTCGATACAGAAAGTTTTCAAAGAAGAATGGAAGTTCGCTAGATTTAGAATCAAGGGAAAATTCAAATCTGAGCGTAAGGAGTAGTACT